AGTGATGGTTTTACCCTTCTCCAGGTAATCAATGAAAATAATTCCTTTCACATCCCAAAAAACAGTCGCCATAACCTTATTCGCCGATAAAATTGTTTTTGCCTTTTTTGGGGTTGGTTCACCTGGTCCAATCCATTGTTTCGACTGTTGTTTAGTTTCAGGAGTGTAGTGGTGAATCCAAGTTTCATCCACAGTTATAAATCGATGCAAAAGTTCGCTGGGGTTTCGCTTGTACAGCGCCAAATTTTCGATCGAAACAGTTTTCCGGGTAAATTTTTGATCGAACGTTAGCAAACGCGGCACTCACCTAGCACAGAGCTTTCTTATGCTCAAATATTCATGTAAAATATTGCGCACACGTTCAGTTGACATCCTAGTAGCCTCAGCTATCTCACTTACTTTTAATCTGCGGTCCTCCATCACTATTTTATGAATTTTTAAAATCATTTCGGGAGTTGTGACCTCAACGGGGCGTCCTGAACGTGGATCGTCAGAAGTGCTCGTGCGACCTTTCTTAAATTCAGAAACCCACTGTTTAACCGTTGAATATGATGGAGAAGAGTCTTTCAGTGTGGAATCCAGCTTTTCTTTAATTTGTAATGGTGTTAGGCCTTTTAAATAGAAGTATTTGATGACCACACGCTTCTCTGATTTTTCCATTTTCACGTAAGCAATCGAGGCGTCTTATTCAATCGGCTCTCAAATGTACACGAACAGAGCAATCTACCTGAAAATTTATATACAATCTATTAAGATATAGTACTATAGAATACAAGCCAAAAATTAGACCTGCTGGCGCCATCTCTATTTCAGGCCGGAAACTTTTCACCCCACCCTCGTATATAGTAGCAGCAATAAATATTTAAGATTATTAGCACTACTACTATCTAACAGCACCCACTGCAAAAAAGACTTTTCTAACTATAATTATGTCACTATGCCAATATAGTCACAAAAATCGAGCTTTTTTTCAGTTTTAAAATGATGTTGATGTATCTGTGTGTTGCATATAACGCTGTCAACCAGACTTGCGTACTCATGCATGCGATTATTTCTACTTTAACGAGCTATTATATATTTTTGTTCGCAATTATTATATCGCCTAGTCCTTTTTAAGTACACTGAAAGAAAAACTGCTACATTCAAGTAAATATTTATCAAGGAATATTGGAGCGATTACTCGAATGTAGCACATTGGAAGAAAAAAATGTTACATTCAAACAATATTCAGCTAATTCAAGTAAGAGAAATTATTCTAATACTCCGCGGCAAATATTTACTTGGACGGCTTCGAGATACGCAAATAGTCTTATCGGCGTCGCATTTACAGCGAGAAAAACGAGCCGCTCGAGCGGATGTGCGATGAATGTCATTGATGATGTTCGCAGGCTCGGATCTCCTCGTTAAATGCGCGCTATTATACCGTAAATAATCCGTGTCACCCGCTCATCCGCTTTTGCTCTCTTTTTACGAGTAAACCCGTTAATTGTCGCACATCAAGGTTGCAATCTACGTACACGCTTCTGTCTCTCGCTCTCTTTTTATCTCCCTCTATCTGTCTGTTTACATGTTGCCGCGATCACGATTTCACCGCGCTTGATGTTCCCCCGCTGGATGTTCCAATTTCAGTACGGCGCCGGAGGCAGATCGAATCAATTAGCGGCATCAGCACCTCGCGTCAAGCTGCGAAGGGCTTGCCAACAGCAACAGCATCATCAACATTACCAACTTGCTCAGCGGCCCTTCGTCTCGACGTCCGCGAATTGCCGCGGCGATGAGCCGCGGCCCAGAACGATGCCGGCGAAGCCGGCCACCAGGATCAGCGACAATCCCAAGGGCAGTCTCAAGCAGCGATCGGCGATGGTCACGTCGACGGCCTCGGCGTTGCCCAGCAACGTCACTCGGCACTTTGTCAGGACCATGAACGGCGGTTACCTCAACAACCCGGAGTCGCCGTACGTCAGCCACCATCAGCAGGCCATCCGCGACTACCTGAACCAGACGATGCCGTTGCCGGCGCAACGACACTTGCGAGCGCGAGATCGAGCGATCTACCAGGCCACCGGTGGCAGGAATAACCTCGTTGACAGATCGTGCACCGTCGCCGCGGACGTCGGCACGACCGGCGATCATCGTCGTGCTGCACGTGGTCAAGGTGGCAGGTTGCAGCAGAGGCATAGCGTCGACGCCGGCTGCATAGACCAGCGGAAGTTGTCCTCCACGTGCGACAGGTCGAAGTTCTTGGACAGTAGCAGCCAGAGGCACGGCGTGATAGCCGCGTCCGTCTACAAGGAGCTCTGCAATGGGTCTATCGGGTGGTGAGTGCGCGTGCGGCGGGGGTGTTTCTCGGGGGCGAAGAGCGACGATTAGAGCAGGACGGTCGCGGGTCGCTTTGTTCTCGAACGAGATCCCGCGGCTCGAGAGCGTGGGGAGTTCAAGCACGCGTATGTCGGGATTTCTTTTTCTTCTCTTTCGCCGACGAGGACCTTTACACGTGCGCGACGAAACGTCCCGGGGGATTTTTTTCTCATCTGTACGCGACCGGGGGATAAATCGAGTTCTCTCGACTTACGCTTTCGAAGGAGACGCGGAAGATTACAGAAAATTTCTGCACTTACTCCGACGGAAGAGAGATTGTAATCTGGAATGTGTGTGTGTGTATGTATTCGGCGAGTGAATTTTTATAGGAAATATTTGCCTTCTACAATCCCCACACCGCGGCGTGAGGAGTCATTTTTGTAACGGCGGTTTTTACGAGACGGGAACAGTGGGTGCGCGCGTGTATGTGTGTATGTATGCGTGAAAATAAAATTAATGTCAATTCAAGACTCGCATTTTTATATAAAGCAAGAATATATAATCTTATATGGAGATAAAACTTGCTCTTATACATGAAGACATTCTATATAGTTCCATTAAAAATATCATATTCTTGTCATTTCGGAATAATTTTTATTGAAGGGAAAAAATATTGGACAGAAGGAACGATATCTTCAAACTGATACAATTTCTGCTTTGAAGATATCGTCCTTTTTATCCAATATTTTTCTTTTCGATTTATGAAAATTATTCTTGAATAACATAAATCTATTGTTAATGGAACTATATAGAATTTCATGCATAACAGCGTTTTATCTTTCTATAAGATTATATATTCTTGCTATATAAAAATGTGAGTCTTGAATTGATACTAATGTTGTTACTGTGTGTGCAATTCTATTCGGCGAGAACGGATTCGAGGAAATCATCATCGGATGATGTTCGCTTCCGCCAACGTTGACTAAACTTTAATCCGAGCTTTAACTCTCGTCAAAACGAGAACTCAAATTCAGATTAAGATTTAATCAACGTTGATAGGAACGAACATACGAAGAATCATGCGGTCGGCTCGCGAACGATCTTCTCGGGATTCGTTTGCTCATTCTCCCGGAAGCGAGAGTCGCCTGGCGCGCGCCAGCAGCATATGGTTCCTAAGTAAATAAGCAAATTTTGCACGATGCGAATGTATAATTAACGCTACCGAGTGTGTCGCGCGCCTCTCAACATTTCCGTTTCCCACGGGGATCAACGGTTTTCGCGGTTTACTCCGGCCGGTGAGCGCCCGAAGTAAAGTTCGCTAGTAAAAACGATCTCTCTATAGCTCCCTCTCTCTCTTTCTCTTGCAGTTTCTAAGGCCACGACTACCTCAATTTTTTATATAACGTAAAGTATCGGAAATACGAAATGTGGGAGATGAGCGTTCAGACACGTATGCAAATGCTCACCTTCTCCCTCTCGCTCTCTATTTCTCGCGCGCGCCAGTTCGATGACGAAGATGTGACAATAACCGTGAATAACCGCGGAGACTCTACTACGAACGGAAAGTTCGATTCATTTTCGATAAACAAGCGGAAACTATGAGGACGTAATACGGAAATCGCGCGGGGCCTCCCCGGAGCGGAGATCGGCCCGTGGGAATCCGGAGAATACGTAGGAAGCTTAGGACATAAGGCCGAGTTAGTGGGGCGCACACCGATGATATATTCCGAGTTGACATACACACACACGCACACACACACACACACGGCGGGGCCATAGCGGAGCGCGCGCGACACACATTTTTCTACATTTTATTTATATGTCCGACGCGGGCTATGTCGGCGAACACGTACACCGTACATTATACATACCGTATCCGGCAGTCGCCTCGATGTACAAATTCCATTGAATCATATACCTTTGTCGCAATTGTTCGTGATGTGCAACTCCTTTGTGCGCACCAATGGCGTGCGACTTGTGGTATACTGTACATGGCGTGTGCAAATAAAATTTTTCACAATAACGGACCAGACTTACCAGTGTGTTCACTACCTTCGCAACACTCGAACATTGCGTTAAGATTATAGAGAGGTTACGATCTTACACAATTTTAATGAGAATGTTACTGATATGTAACCATTAACTTTACAATATAATCTTACGTTGTAATATTGTCGGAAGGATAATGGAATCTTGTTTCAATATTTCAGTAACTTTACGCGCAATCATCTCACATTTCACGTATGCTGGAAATATTACAAAAACTATGACGTATGGTTTAATATTAATAATTGAATTTGATATGCGCATTTTCGTATTTCGAAAATTATTTTTCTATTTATTCAGAAATTAGATTAAATTTAACTTACTAACTCAGTAGATTGTCTGCGAGGTTTCTTAT